TCTAGAAACCGGCCCAGATCCATGTAAAAGTTCCCTGCACCATTGGAAAATTTACGCCTACATATATGCCTTCCCCTTCGTATCTTTCAGACAAGATGGACGGTGATCTAATGGTTTATTTATTTTATTTGTAATACTTTAATACACAATCTAGCCTAATCTAGTTGAACGATTTGAATAAAATCTTTTTCCTTTGAGTTTGTAACAAGAACTGAGAAACATGAAATACGCGAGAATAGAAAATCAAGACTTTCATGCTATCTGTAGAGGCGATAAGCAAACAGTCGGTATCCCTCTATCATCGCTTTGCTCACGATAGATAATGTGCAACGTTGCTATAGTTATCACTAACAATATATTCTCCGTCGCTTGGAACTCGATCACCGACTTGCCTTTCTATAGACGTTTCTGTGAACGCATGCAACAGCCCCTAGCTAGCCTATTCGCTTGTTCTGAGTTTTTTATTGAAAATCCGCTCATCCTGAGACAAGAGGGAGAGGCGGCTTGCTGCTAAATTCGGAGCACTAGATGGATGTCTTCAATTAAGTATAGCCACCTTGACCAAACAAAAACCTATTACTGCAAACGTAGTACGGTTGAATGTAAAATATAAATGAGAATACAGATAGTCACATACATATATAAGGTGATTCATGCAACTGGTTCAAAGATTCATTCATTGTTTTCCCCTAACATTTCTTTTTAAATGCAATCAGAAAAGATGTATGACTTGTCCAGTTACGTGAATAACCCTGCATAATGTAAACATAGGTAATCAAAGAATATATAAATACATGTAATCAGAAATAAAATTACATACGTTAATTTTTACAATGATTCTTATAAAATAGTATTCCTTTAACTATATTAACTCGGACATTGATTTCAGGTGACTTCCACCGCTAGAAACGCCACAGACATCCCAATTTTCCTAAATTAGCGTGTAAGAGACAATACACGGTGGAAGTGGAGGCAGATGGACGTTGAATATGGAATTTTTTTCGATGGAGCAACGGTACAAGGATTCACCTTAGCAGCTTCGCATTCCCTCCTTTTCCCTCGTCTTTTTTCTCGCCCAGAGGCCGTGTCTAATGATCTACACACTCTCACCGTGCCTGCTAGAAAATAGTCGTATATGCGTGCGCGTGAACACGCAGGGAAACAATTTTCTTTTATCGTGACCTGTTTTATCATGTCTTCGTCGTCTTCTTTTGCCGTGCAAGATAACAGAACTCAAGCCGCATATTTTCGGCCCTGTTGTTAATGCGCCACTTCGCGAGCTCTGATAAACAGGAAACGACGTCCACGTGCATTCACTGGTGAGGAGAAGGGACGAGGAAAGGGCTGGCAGGCTCTTTTAGCCATGTTTCATACCGACCTCCACATTTATTCATCCTGCAACGTCATATGAATTTTTATTTCCATTCTGATCGAATGTAATCCTTATTTCTAAACGTTTCTATAATTTTTTTTTAAGTTAAATTGATTGTAAAGTAGAAGGGTTAATTCCAAGTAATGGTATTTTCATACAGAGTGAGAGCAGCGGGGGGGAAAAAAATTGTTTGATTTGCGTGGAGATCAGGAGGATGCCTGAAGCATGGGAAAAAATTTTGGAGCATTTTATAAGAGGAAGCAGGCGCAATCAGCGGCCGCATTTAAAGCCAGGGCGTGGTGGCAATTTTCGGGGACCCATACAGACACGCAGGTTTTTCATTTCTTCTCGCACACGCAGACACATTTGTGATCAGCGATGGCTTCAATACGCCTGAAATTGTTCAAACACTCCACCGTATTCAATTTTCACTATTCTACTCCACTGTGAAAAAATCTTGAAAAACACTAAAATTACGGAAATTATCGTTTTAGATATTTATCTCATATATAATTACATATTTTTAATAAATTATATTTTTTAAAGCTATTACAAATTATTTATCTTATTTTTAAGGTTGTCGGGATGTTATAATCATGATGGAACAATTTTGCTACGAAGAAATTGTAAGAAAAATAAAATTAAAAAAAAAGGTTGTGGTAGGAAGAGCTGGCGAGTGATATTTGTTGCGTAGCATGAAAACTTGCGAGAAAAAAGGGAATCTAATGGGCATCGCTAGTGCTGATACGAGGGCAAAAGACGTGGGTGCACATACACAGCGCCGTCTCGTCATTCACGCACGCATACACGCGCAAATGATGTATAGTTGCACGTGTGTGCGCCGTACCCCGCAGGATATTGCCTAGACGCAGTGTGATTGGCCGATCGTGCAACTAGGGACGACGACGACCGTGCAAGGCTCCTTGTGCGTGCCATTCAGTGGCGTAACTCCGCCATTTGTGCCTTCTTTTTTAGGCGAAAATATCTTCCATAATTAGTAAACCAAAATTAGCAATTATTATCAATGGTAAATCCCCATTTACACTTACAATTACATTACTTTAATGAATGACAATACTGATTTCCTCGAATACTTGCAAAGATGTTTGCTCATTTTCTCTTATCGCGAGAGTATAGTTTGCTAGCGATAATCTACTCGTTAAACAAGCCCGCTAATTACCCATAGACCACGTTCGACAAAAGATGTTCTAATTACACACGTGTTCCCACGGCGTTCATATATTACTAAGGTTTCATTCAGCAAGCGAATGTGTTTAAAAGTCCACGCGTGGAAATATTTCGCTCATCGAGAGAGCCACCGGTTACGCTACTGCGCGTTCGCACGCACACAGCAGCACACGACACACGCTCACGGCCACCCCTATGCGAGAGCCTAGCCATGACCAGCGTCTTCCACGCACGCTTCGTCAGTGGTCGCTGAGTAGGCCGTGGAAGAGGGTTTATGTTCAAGTTTCAACTTTCTTCTGCTGCGGGTGTGCACTCGTGTCGCGTCGATCAATGAGGCCGTTGCAATCAAAAAGTACATTTGAAACACCTAAATCAAGAGGTACGAATAACGCAACGAAATACAACCATTAAAAAAGAAACGAACGTCAATGAAGATAATCGAAAGTCTAATACGAAAACCCGTAAGAACGACAAGGACAGGCATATGGTGAAGATAAGAAGAGGAAAACAGATAGAAGATTAAAGTTTTCTTTTCGCCGCAGAATATTGAACTGTGGGTTAATAGATGAGACAGAGTAGTGTCTGCCATTCGTTCGCGATGATGAAAGGGACGCGGAGAGGTTTGTTTTGATCGGCGGTTCCGCGCACGCGCACCATACGCCATGCGCGTTCACTAGCAGTTAAATCCTCGCGGCAACGTTCTCAGCCCAACGAATGCGAGTGCACACGCACGCTAGCCCCCTCGTGCGTTTCCTAGTGTACACCTCGGCGGCCATTTGAACATCGTTGCGGCGCCAGCGTTCCAAGGAAAGAGAGAGATCATTTAGACGAGTAAGTTTGCACGATATTGCGTCTAGATTTGTTATGGCGACCACAAAAATAGTCCACACCGTGTAGTTGTTCCTTTTAGTTATATTTACAATGTTACCGAACACTTTCATTTGTGACTATTTTTTTAACATAATTTTTATTTAATTTTTATAATCACAACGGCATAGTTAGCACTAGCCTTTGCAATACTTTAAAACAGTGTCAGGTGACGAAATAATATATTGTTTTCATATATTATTCTAGGAAATTTTATTTTATGTCAGTACTACAGGCTGGCCCACAAAACGCTTTACCATTTAAAAATTGAATAAACTTTTTTCAAAATTTGAAACAAAAATTTTAAAACCTAACAAACAAAAAGTTATTCAATTCTTAAATGATAAAATACCTCATGACTCACCTTGTATGGATTATTTTTTAGTTTGACATTATCAATTGTCATGAAATCTTATTCATGTATTCCACTGTAATTTATCCGATCGGTAATGTGTTAATGTTGCAATAAATGAAAATGTGTTTGACTAATTGCACTGTATAAAGTATCGATGTATCGCGGTGGAACGAATTTATCTTGAAGAATGTTTTGTGCCGTTGTAGATTATTTCTTTTAAAATTGTTTGTCGCTTGTATTTATTGTATTTATTAATCATGAAGGGACTTTTAATTTATGCATATGCGTTGCACGCTCAACATGCGTTCTGTACATGCGCAGTGCGTCAATCCCATTTACGCATTTTCTTGGAATTAACGAGGGGTGATTTCACGTGTGTGACTCACTCCTCACAAATTTGATTTTCAATTAACTGCCTAATGGTCAGAGACCAATTTTGTGTCCACAAATTGTACTTTTGGACACGTTCAAATTTAAATCTAAATATTCAAGTTTAAATTTCAAATTTAAATTCACACAATAGAATTTAGATTTTCAAATTTAAGTTTAGATTACGTCTTTTATATTATACAATTTATAGACCTAAAATTAAGAAAAAGATTGATTATTACAATTCCAGACCCTGTTCTGCAGACAAAGTTCGAGATGGCGAGCACGTCGCAACAGTATTGCCTACGTTGGAACAACCATCGCTCTAACTTACTGACCGTATTCGATGAGTTGCTGCAAAATGAGGCATTTACTGACGTGACTTTAGCTGTTGAAGGTGGCGCCTCCGTCAAGTGCCACAAGATGGTCCTGGCGGCGTGTTCTTCTTACTTCCAGACCCTCTTTATCGACTTACCGTGCAAGCACCCGATCGTTGTGTTGAAAGACGTCAAATATTCCGAAATTAAGGCCATCCTCGAGTACATGTATCGAGGAGAAGTAAACGTAGCCCAAGAACAATTGGCTGGATTGTTGAAAGTTGCAGAAGTATTGAAAGTAAAGGGTTTGGTGGAGGAGAATGGTTCACAGGGTCGTCGAGAGGAGGTTGAAACCTCGATGTCTCCTCCTCCAGCCATAAGTACCAGCACAACGAGCAGTGCAGCGCACAGTAGCGGTCACACGTCTCCCCCGCACTCCACAGGAACCTCTTACAACATTTACGGAAAATCTCCAGTCGACAGGAGCAATCGCCTACCACTGCCAATGTGGCCATTATCGGGGCTTCCTATGTCTCATTCCAGTTCCAGTCACCAAGCAGCGCCTCCATCACAACACTGTTCCATACTCGCCGGTTCCTATGACAACGGCTATGAAACCTCGCCTTTAAAGCGCAAAAAGCTCTCCAATATGTTTATGAACAGGGACACGCCGATACTGAGGACGGTCTTGGGCCAAGGTCATGCTGATAGCTCTCAGGGAATTCCTTTATTACAACCAGACAGTCATGAGAATCATTTTAGAACCAATAGCAATGGGTCATCGAATGATAATGACAGACATAGCAGCATTGACTTGGTTCACGGAGAACCTGCGCACAGTCCTTACACCGACATGTCCATGATGGATGATGATGACAAGCAACCATCTCCTCAGTCGTATCCTGCAGATATAAAACCAGGTAAAGGAGATACAGACATTCATTTTTTGAAGTTACACTTGTGAACATAAATTAAAAGTCCATTTCCTTTAGGGATAGCAAATTATGTACCAACGCAGAAGCCAGAATGGAAACGCTATAAGCAGTACACAAGGAATGACATCATGTCCGCAATAGAAGCAGTGCGTTCAGGAATGAGCGCCCTCCAGGCGGCACGTAAGTACGGAGTACCCTCCAGAACACTTTACGACAAGGTAAAGAAGCTGGGAATCACGACATCAAGGCCATTCAAACGCGGTTCGAATGGCAGTGGCGCCTGTTTCCCTTACGGGATTGGTGGGAACGCGAATGGAAACATCTATGGTGGCGCCCTCTCTGAAAACGAGAATGATAGTAGCATGATCGAAGGACCTGAGTCTACATTAGATGCATACAAGTCAAAGGATGCGCCAATAGATAGAGAGATGCTGGATGCCACTAGATGTACCTCCAGCCCTATAGTGCATTCTGTAAAGCAACAAAGCAACGAAGATCAGGTGGAAGATCTCTCTGTGAGTCGTAAGTCGGATGTCCGTGTGATCGTTCCACCGTCGTCGGTGATCAAGCAGGAGGAGGATATTGATTCTGGTGCGTGCAACCACAACTAATGCAGGTCCTCCTTCTTTTCAATCTCTCGTTACCACTAGGAGCAGTTCTCCTAGCAACAACTAGACGTACTATTTTTCGGTTACATAATTACACAAACGAGAAGTTTTTAGATACCTTAAGGACATCGTCGATTTAAAGGAAATTGTATGCAGGGACCTCGGTGTTGTGTCTGATGAAGCAACATGTGAATTTCAATGATTTTTATCTAATAATTTCTTGGGTCACGAGATATTATACCTGGAAACAAGAGAAAGATACAACCAAACTGAAAATTGATTAAGTAGGTCAGCCTTCAACAAATGGCCACTGTAATTCCACTGTAACAGTGGAGCCATAGAATGTATATTCATGAGAACAATCCTGGTATAAGGGTACTGGGATATGGATTCTTGGAATCCTTTTCTAAGACTACCTTGCACAAGACTGATTCATGCATCATGGATACAAGAGACTGAAAATTGTAATCAACAATTATGTTCCAAAGTTGTTAAAGCCTAATGCTAACTATTCTGGTAAAAATGGTGCCTTCAGAAGTCATTACATCTTGTGAATTTAAAAAGAAGAGAGGATGATACTATCGTAGAGGAGAATTATTGATTAAAATTATTGTTGAAAATTATTGGTACAACCAAAATAATCACAATTGACCTAGTGAAAACTTTTCTCATTTGAATATTTAAGAAATTTACTTGTACATCTTGGATTTTTTCTCTGTTTTTTCAATGATAATACGTTTGAATAGATAGTAATTGCAAATTACATAAACAGTAATTTGAATCGCATTAGCTTTAAACACTTTCGGACCAGTGAGTAGTATGCATATTCTTTTAAAATTAATTTGTAATCATTGTGATTCGATACTTTCATTGTCATATGCAATCTACACAGTAGTACTATTTTATAGAGCCTTAATGGATATATATATATCCATAGATAGATAGATAGATATAAGCCGCGTGAAAGGGGACGAAAGAGAGAGAGAGAGAGAGAATATTATTTTAACAATTTTTTTTTTTTTCTTATAAGAAAGATATTCCTGTCTTTAGCATTAAATGCTGTCAACACGACATGATTATATATTATATGCGAAAAAAAAATATATATATAATCTAGAGAAAGCAAAACTGAAAGAAAAAAAAGGTTAAAGAGAGAAAGGAAAAGTTGTACACATAACTTTCGTGTTATCGACTGAATAATGATTAATCGCTGTTAATTTGTTGCTAATTATAAGGTTACATTATCGTTACTGATCATGGCCCTGGGATACAGCTGCAATATTGCTCAAATAATTAACGCATTAATTACCATTACAATAAATACGATAGAACGAACTACCTCATTGTACAACGAACAGAGATCATGTTCAATTAACGTGTAAGACTGATAGAGAGCCGAATCTGCGTTACCAGCTCGTCAAAACCGTGTTTTTATTTAATATTTATTATATTATGAACAGATATAAAGTTTTAACTATGATGTAGTTCATTAAGAGTAGAAGAGTTGCAGTTCTCTGAAATTTATGTTGAGGCCAGCCATTTAGTGACTGGATACAGTAATTTACAGAGTGATCACTGTTAAATCATGTTCTCAGGCCTGTCTGTAAATCATTGTGTCTGAATTTCACGTTATCCATCATTTTGAGAAGTAGTAAACGTCGGATACAATTGTTTTACTGATTTTATTGCAGCAGTAAAGATTCTCCTGATGTGGAGACAGATTTTCTACAATGTACAAAATAATTGTTGGTTCAAGCTTTCATATAGTGAAATTGATTACAACAGACCTAGTAGAGAGCTGGAATTTTTATTCTTGACAAGACTGTCCATTATTTGTACCTTTTATTTCAACTTTTGGACAAGTTTTACTGTTCCACTGATCCTATAACAGGATTCTCATTGATAAGTACAAACCAAAGCTGCCTTGAAACTGTTTTACCTCAGAATATAGGTGACATAATGCATATGACACAATGTTCCATTTTCATCTGAACATTTTGTACTTTGTTTCATATTAATTTAAAATTTTATAACTTTCAGCAATAGTAGTGAAGAGTATGGAACAATGTTTGTAAATTGCAATTACCTATACAGAGAGATATAAAGTTCAGGTGAAAATGGAATTCTCTTAGTTTTGTAATAGAATGATTGTAACACTGTACCTGTACACTGATCGCAATGCGGTTATGATATTTATATCCAGAAATGACTGATTTCAACATCAATAGGTGATGAAGCCATATTATAACAGTAAAGAAAAAAAAAAATAGTGAAATTCATAGTATGTATAACTAAAAATATATAGCAATAGTGAAGAAATAGACAAAATGAAATGTCCTGAAACAGACAGAGAATAGTCCAATTAAAAGAACTTAGACTGAAACACTTAAAAGACTATGTAGATACCTGAAAACACTGTGTTCAAAGCAAAGAGGAGAAGCATATAATTGTAATATAATATAAAAATAAGAAGGGGAAAAATGTAAAAGAAGTGCTCAAAGACATATCACTACTATAAAAATACGCGATTGGAGATGTCCATAAAAAAAAAGGAATTTGAAATAAAAATAATCAAATTTATACAGTGAAAATTATGAATTTTTTGAAGAAATACGTGGAAAAAGAAATAATCCGGCACAATTATATATGTACTAGTATATAATCTAATCGCTGTGTAGGCGCAACCTTGAATGCCTTATGAGAATTTAAAATCTTAGTTATGTACTGTTTATTATCGAATTATGCCTTTTTATTGTATGTAAATCTAGCGTCGTATTATTTTTTAAGACTGATTTTTTGCTACGTTGACAATTTGCACACATTACACACAACACACGCACACACGTACATATACACACATTAAAAAGCACTTTTGATTAATTGTAAGTTTCTATATTTTACACTTTCCACCATAATTACGGGTCACATCCCATTTTCCACTATGTGGACATATGTTATTAGAATTGTACAAGTTTGTTATTGAAATATATTACCCTGATAAGAAAGTCATGAGATGCTGTTTGTCATTATGTATATGCGAATAGATGTTTAAGAGTCATCTTTTTACAATAAAACAGTGAGGATGAATTTCTGATAGCTAGTAAAATTTATTTTTTAACTAATATCAATCTCTTTTCCATATTCCCTGTTACTGAATAATAATAAATTTTATCTTTCCTTTGATGCATATAAACGTATCAAGGATCATGAACGTTTCGTTGGTGTGATCAGATTAAATCGCCCATTATCTTACAGACAGATGTAAGTGGGAGCAGTAGTAATACTGTAAGCACGATTTATCCCCGTTAAATTCTATTTGTGTTTATATTTGTTGAGTCTGGATTGTTTGGACGATAGTCTTAAATCAACATTGGTAGCAGCAACACTACTATGCTGATGAGACCACCCCGAGGCCTATTTTTCCTGTTGGCCAAGCATCGTATCACGTTGCAAGTTTTACAAGCGCCATTATACACTATGAACCATAAAATTGAGGCAAAGTGTGTTTATTTATGTTAAGAAAATTATATTAATTAAATGAACAAAAACCAAACGATTATTAATGAATGACCAAATTGGAAAAAATAAAATACTCCAGACGATTTTCCCTCTTCAGAGTTCCACTTTAAAGCTGCACCTATCTCAAGTTGTCTTTCAAGCGGTTTTTTCGTTTGATCGTCACGCTGTCAGAGACAGAGCGCCAATATCGCCGCGAGGAAGAATTTCAATCAAGCCGCGGGATACCCAGCCTTGAGCACATGGTGAAAAAAGCGGAGAGTTAACTTTGCGGTGTAATTGGACGTTGAAGCAAAGTCTTAAGAGTGGAAACACGTTATCAATTACAGACAGAGAGATCTTTCAATTTGGTAAATTAACAATAACATATTTAAGACAAATATTAAGTTAAAACATATTTTTTTAACGTGTTTACAATTCTAAAATGATCGGTGATCTTCCAAAATTTTTAAGATCAAAATCTCCACATTTCTATTACAACTTGATCGTCAATTTCTGGCCCGTTATCGCTCATATCGGTTCCAAATCGACTCCCATATCTTTCAAAACCACCTTTCAGCAATGTGCAACCACGCAGAGCGAGGGAGAGCGACGGAGAGCCAAGGAGAGCAAAATATCTCCAGAGCAGCAGAAAAGAACGGCAGAAGCAAAGGACAGATAGAAATTACATAAACGTATCAACAACGGTGACCAAAACCACAAGGGACCGCGTCGTGTTATCCTAGGTCAGTGTGCCTCACTCTGGAGGAGAACTACACCATAGTTCTATCTCTTTAATAAGTCTCATTCCACGCTCCGCGCACGAAGAGAATAATTATGGGCTTGCGCAGATCGTTCGCCAGGGGGTGGGAGAGGGTGGTTAAGGAGAAATAAAGCCTCGAGCCCAGCCGGTGAATGCGGCCACGGATAGCGAAATTTCTCCGGCCCGTTTCGTGTCCTCCCGGGGTCAATCAGCGGATCTCCCTCCGTGCCTAACTGATCGTTCTCACGGTGAGTAACGTAATTCGCGGCTCCTCGTGTCCCGTGTACGTTGTTACCGCGTGATACACGACGGTGAAGCATCAGTGCATACGTGAAAGAAAATTTTTGGTCCCTGGAACATCTTTGGCCTTTTTCAGGACACGCTGGTGTGAAACAACGGCAGCTGCTCGCAACGTTTTCCCGGATGCTGAGGCATGCGCCCTAAAAACTCTGGAATTGATGTATTGCAGAGCGCAGGTACAAATCAGAGTGACAGCCTCGCGTGCGTCCACTCGAAACATTGTCCGCGCTTCCTCTGTGCGTATACGCGAACATTTGCATGCCCTTTTTGTCGTTGCTCTTCTACCAGATGCTTCAGAGAAAGTTTCCTGCTCTCTAAATGTCATCGTAACAAAGAGGACTGTTTGACAGCAATTTTTGTCTGAAAATAAGAAGTCGAACTGAATTTTACGGGTGAAATTCTTTTTTCTACCTGGCGAAATTAATTAAATTAACACAGAGCACAAAGTTACCATTGGAAACAGATATTTGATGATTTTTATTAATCTTTGGTACTTTTTCGTAATCTTTGAATCAATATATTCAGAGTATAATTAATTTTCGCCTAGGGGAAAGTGGAGTGCAACAATCGAAAGTAAAACAGGATTCTGATAATTGGAACGATCTTCAATCAAACTGCTTATTCTCTTGGTAATCTTTCGAAGATTTGACTCTCTTTGTCAGGAGCAGGAAATAAGTATAAGTTAAAAATTAATTTTTCTTTTTATAAAATTTTTATGATTATTTGATTACAGATCTGCATTTATTACCTGCTGTGGACAGCGACGCTGAGCCTAAAACTTACCTTGGAACAGGAGACCACTACAGTGGAAAGTTGGGACTGCCCTGCAGAATGCATTTGCCTTTCCCCGAAACAGGTAACTCAGCAAAAATTCTACCAGTACTTTACAGTCCAAAAATTGGCTCAATTTCATTGAATCCAGATCAGAAACTAGATTAGGAATTGATCAGTAGTTAGCAGAAGCTAAATTGGTCGTTCATCCGCGATTAATTAGACTTATATCACGTACAACATCAACTACGCTGTTTTCTAAAACAGATTTAAGTGAAATCAATCACTTAGAATGTACCTCAGCTGTCAAAAACAAAAGATATACTTGACCAGAAAGAAATAAGAATTAATATGAAATTGATGAAACTTGGTTTTTTCAGGTTCTCTGCAATACAGGTGGGCTAAAAGACATTCCCACCCAACAGTTGCCTCAAACAGTGGAGGAACTGTCCCTGACGAAGAACAACTTCCCAATAATAAAAGGCGACGCATTCGCCGGTCTGAGAGTCCTCAGGAAGTTAATGATGGATGGTAATAACATCTCCACAATACGTCCATTTGCGTTTCGAGGGCTAAGTAGGCTACGTGAGCTCTCCATACAGCACACTCCTCTACCTTTCATCGAGAAGTTCTCATTCGCCGCCCTGCAAAATGTGTCAGTGTTACTGCTGGCCAACAACAAGATCCGTTATATAGAAGGGTATTCTTTTGCTGGTACGTCGAACATTCGTGTGATCCTCTTGAGCAATAATCCTCTGCTCAGGATCCAGACTCACGCATTTTCTGGTCTGACCAACGTTGTACATCTAATCTTCCCCTATGGCATCAGAACCATAGAACCAGATGCTTTTGATGGCCTACAGCATGTTGGTTTGTTGAAATTGACCTACATGGACCTGTCTTCCCTCCAGTCATACACCTTCCGTGGCCTGTCCTATGTGCATTCGTTAAACATACAAGAGAGTGACCTGGGCATTCTTGAAAGAGCTGCCTTTGCTGGGCTCAGTCATGTGGAGAGATTAAATATACTTAACAACAAGATCGATCTGATTGAGAAGCTGTTTCTGAGGTATGAAAATAACATAGAGATGCTGAGATTTCATGGAAACCATGTGCTAGAGGCACCTAGACATGCCAGAGATATTAATCTTGAAGTGAACTCCATCAGTGCCATTGATAACCACTTTCCATGCGACTGCCAGGCCCACAATGTGTTGGAAAGCGATTTTGTGAATGGTACTATCAGCGACTTTCAGAAGAGGAATTTCTGTATCTCTCCTATTGAGTACAATGGCAAACTGATGAATCTTGTGGATTTCGATTTGGTAGCCAGGTGTCATGACAATGTTGTACAGGACAACTTGGGCTCTGGTGTAATTGGAGTCTTCACACTACCTACAACCCTGTTCCTTATTCTTCTGTTCCCCATGAATTTCTTTCAATGAAGTGAGGTTAGCTTAAAAATGTTACCGATTGCATATCATCACAGGGTTGTAGTGGGAAGAATTTGTATTGTTTTTTAGAGTATTGGTTATTAAAGCAGATTCTATGGTGGCTTTTATTATTAAATTACTTAAGATCTAAAGATAAAGTGCAAGTAGTTGTAATTTAGTTTAACATTTCTGTAGATATTAAATGAAAGGGAGAGGTAAAGTAGCAACTAACTTTTTGAGAATATATTCCTCATTCAAATTATTTCTATTTGGAGGACATGAAGGAAAATTTTTTAGAGAAATGTATTTCACAACTTTTCTATTTTCATTTTTTCTTATTTTTGAGTCATTTTATATAATAGGAATTTACTGTACCAATAGTCACCCACGAAAGTAATTACATCTCGTAATTGCTATAAATATTTCTACAAAATTATAGCAAAATGTTTAAAATCAAATATGAAACTATCAGGCAAGTTGAGAACTTTAAAATTGGCATGGTTGACTATTGTTACAGATCCGTCATTGTGAGATCATTATCGAGAACGTTTTTTCTATCATTCACTGTATTCGATTATTATAACTCGCACAATCTTAAGCATGCGACTACGAGCTTTAACTGATCCATGTAACTGGATTAGCGAAACCGCATCCATTTTGGATTTATTCTGTAATTTAAAGGTAATTCCAAACAAGTGACACATTTACCACGTTATATCGTGTTAACCCCTTGAACCTATAATTTTCATCAACGATAATGAAAGTATATAAGTAATAAGGATATGATAAGTTCAACTTATATAAGAATACTTTATTGAGAGGGTAAAATTCACGTGGTTTGAACGAAATAAATAGCGCTGATTTGTGCTTTTTCTTAGGAAAAGTTAACATTCGATAAAAAAAGAATCTTCAGATTAAAAGATATAGATATTTTTAAAGTTTTGTTTCACATTATTGTTAATACTGCATTAAATTTGATATAATTAGAAACATTTTGATCTTCTGAGAATTAACTGATCATGTGAGTAGTCTTCCTTGGATAAAATAACCGCTCTAATAAAAAGTCAGATGTGTTACATGAACATATACATATATGTATATTTAAACTAATAATTCATAAGATTTTTAACAGTTTTATCTTAAATTTTTATCAAAAGATTTATTTCGTGGCCTAATTTTCTTCATCATCAATCAGAAATTAAAGATTTTAGATTACCTATGAATACTTTGTTATTTTCACAAATTTTTGACAGAAAATCGTGCGTTTAAACTATGAGAAAAGAAAGAAGAGAAATATTTGCTCTCTTGTCACTTGTAATGTAAAGTCTGCGTGGCCTTCGGTCAGCATAGTAACCGAGGACCAAACTAGCTTATATTTTTTACCAACATCTAACATATAACGTATAAACGAAAAGATAATAAATGCTGTAACCTTTTATTGTAGTTAGAAGTGATCTGTCATTTAATAAACGATAAAAAATTATTTACAAGCGCAAACGTTTAACATTACTAAAATATATAAATATATGGTACAAGAGATAAATTGAAACAATGTATTCCTAATATTAATTTATTGAAACTGGGACATTCCATTTTTGTAAGAACTCTAAACAACGTCGACATCCTTATTTTAGAATAGTTTTCAATGTTGCTGATTTCATTTTATCTAAATTTCTGGCATCAGCTCTGTCCTCTGCATACGTGTTTACCTCATAGTGAAATATAGACTCCATTTCTATTGGTGCTATGCCTAAATCTTCTAAAGTTGGTAACGTGGGATCTATCTTGTCAGTAGTATGATGCTAAACAGAACGTAATGAACATGCCTTTTACTTTTGAGATCTTTATGGTTTACTTCAATATTGAAGTACTTTAAGTGCACTTACACATTCTATTACTTCCCAGGTCAAATCGACAACAGGATGTACCGGCAGTACAGTCTCCCAGAAAGCAACTTTCAATTTAGTTATTACATTATTTCTCAACTCTAATATTTCTATTTTTTGAAAAGGGTACGCTATATCGAACATCCATGAAACTAATTCGCTCAATTTATATCGTTTCGGACTAAAAGAAACAAAAATTCTAAATTCTTCTATACAAACCTCGACTTAAACTCAGCATTATTTGCACTACATACCCGACAAATTGATAAGTTTTACCAGCTGTATTAGGATTATTTATGATGGCTACAATACCTGAAACTACATCACGAATATGTATTGGTTGTTTTTCAGTCTTTTCCCCTTTGTCATACAATGCTACGTATCTGTAAAGAATTCATGATCCATGAAATTACAATGATACAAATTGTAAAAGATTTAAAGTAAACATACTCACGAACGATAGATCTTCCTTGATTCATTACAGTAATGGCTTATAAATTTATCACGTTGTCCATATATAGCAGATGGGCGGATAATGGTTGCTTCTGGAAATTCTTCTTTCACTGCAAGTTCTCCTTCCCATTTTGTTTGAAGAATCTTTGAGCCCTCTTTCAACATCAACGGCTTGAAAAAAGAAATATACAATCACTGAATATCACTGCTTTAAATAGCAAATTAATGCAAGTGAATAACCTACTGTAGGTTTTTTTGCTGCATTCAAACATGACATATGAATAAATCGTTCTACGTTACATTGCTTAGCAAGTCTAGCAAGCTTTCTGGCTCCTTCCACATGTACATCTTTAAAGCTGAAGTTATTAGTCTCAGTATTTCTTCCAATCAAATTAATAACTACATTGGAATATTTCATGCACTTGATTATTGACTCCTCATCTCTGAGATCAAAGGGGTGGTATAAAACCTGTCCAAGATCTCCACCTACTTTCAACTGCCGAACACGATATGGATCACATCTGTGTGGAAGAATGATCTGTAAGAAAACACGCAACATCAACTTTAAGGTCTCATGTTGATAATATTTTGTATTTACTTGCCTGAGAACCAATTTTCCCCAATCGTACAGGTAAGTAGGATCCAATGAAACCACTGCAACCAAATACTGTACATATTTTGCCACTGAAAGAACTGCGACCACCAGTGCCTCTTTTCAAGCTGGCTGTAGTAGGATTCTTAATTATATTTGGTTTTGAAGAGTAATCGTGGCTCTGTACCGTATAGCATGTAGCGTATACATTCTGATTCCCTGTATCACGCAATCCAAATCGTTATTATTACATAATTGCATAGAACACTAATGCGTTTATGACGCGTATAGGTTATACATAAACAATTGAACTACAATCATTGTTTCATTTACCATTATCACAAAGTTATTTAAAATAAATGATTAACAAGTAAAATTAGTAAACTTACTTGTCGCTCGTACAACTTTCAGAATCACGGCCGCCATGTCTGTCATCCGTTCACCCACGAATGATGGCGGCAATAGAGAGACGAATTTGTTTTTAAGTTGGTTAATACTTTGTTAAGAATGGGGTACAGTAAATTCTTGCACATTGTCCCCCAGTTTGGAACCGAATTGAGGCAGTTTCCGTAGACAGACTATTTTTTCTGCCTCACAGCTCGCCTTTGTAGTTCGCCAAACAAAAGCTACGAATAAAACATGATAACGAAATAAAAGCTGAGGCAACCGAGATATTTAAACACCAGCGTACCAAATGCTATAATAAAGACGATACTTAAACTTTTTTATTTTTAACTTTTTCTGTATAAAAAAGCCATGTAAGCTGTACCTCCACATTGTCCAGGCATAACTTATGTATTGGACGAACAATGTGCAGAGATATTTTATGTATTTTCCTGGCAATCCGTTTTTATAATTTATTCAAAACAATGATGAAATGAAATAAGTTACTCAATAAGTGTTGAAAAGTAAATGTGTTCTAAATTATATCATGTTTAATCTGATTTTAATCGGAAAAGTCTCATCAATATGTTAAACAAATTTTTAGATAAAAAAAAGTAAAATTAAAAAAGTTATATTATTGTATTATGAACTGTCAAGCTGTGAACTCTCGTTAAAAGAACCGCGTCGCGTATTGCATAACATATGTATAGTACATCGCAGGCTTAACCGTGTCCGAGAAAGATAACATAGGCGTAGGAATAGCGGAGTGAACAATGTGAAGGGAGCACTAGTAGGGATAATGTGAGAGCATTTACTGTACTGCGAATGCACTGTATACATTAAAAAAAAAAATTATAACAAAACTATTTTACATTATAAATTCGGAGTAAGAATTCCGAGAGGAGAAATGACTAAAATAATTGCTATGATAATTAAATAATTAAAAAATGAGTGAACGAAAACTTTATTACGGTTACAAGATTCAGCTTCTAACTTATAAATCGGTTAATTATACTGTACTATATTTGAATTACTGCGTTGTAAAAAAATTAACACTATTGTAAAACGTATTTCCCATGAAACGAGAAATAATTTCAGTTAATTGAATTGTTACATTGAAAATGTGAAATTAAAAAATATAACAATAAATACAAACAAAATTTTATATTTAAATTTATACAAATGTTATTGTTTTTTCTCTTTTTGGTCATTGGTCATAAAGTCATTTTGATTTTGTAAGAACATGTAATAATAGACTATCCAAGAATAAATTATTCCTATTGCACAATATACTGAAGTAATAGCAGTAGGTAAAAATGGTAATTTATCGCCAAGTATTAACTTGTGTAATATTGTTTCGTATATTGTTAATGCTGGTAAAACAATGACATATATATATTCGTAAGAATAAAGTAAGTGTTGCTTGAAATTCCTAGTGAGGACTAGAATAGATGCAATCATATACACTAGTAATAACAGTATTTTCAATGGAGTTAAATTGCTTGGATAAAGCAGTGGTAAAAGTGCAGTATGTCCAGCACTGCTTAAAATTAGAAATATTCTAGCATCATTTCTGTCAATTACAGCTAATACACTAAAATATGTTCAAAAAGAGTTAATTTTTATTCTCAATAAAATAATTAATTTCAATTTTTTCTTACCATAGTGGCACAATAGCAGTTAAAATAGCTTTTTCATGAACATGCCATCCAAATACAAAGGAGGATAAAGCACAAAGAGTTAAACACCTTATAAACTGTTTTGAATTTGTATTATAGTCTTTCTTGAATAACAAATAATATAAAGCAGGCTGCAATTTATATGTCATTTAGATATATTGGTAATATTAAGTATCAGTATAATATAATACATACCAGTATCGCAAAAAGGGTTAATGAAAATGTTATAAGTGGAGTAGGAGTTGGTAGTACTAGAAATGATTGTTCTTGAACTAAACCACCAGTCATTACTGCTGATTTTGTTACTTTTAACCATCCTAATCTTTTCAAAATTATCGATATTGCTTTATCTACACCTATGTACAATGCCCAAGCATTTGCTGCCCAATATGCATGAACCAATCCTCTTTTGAGTGGGAACAACCTTGAAAATACCTAAAATAATTAATATTAATTGGAGAAAAAGAACACACAGTAATATTATTTACTTGGGGTAATTGTGAAGCAAATGGTCCAAATGAAATCATCAGAGTGATCATAACTATGCTTCCAAGCATAAATAGACGTTTAAAAAATTGACCACCATTCATACAATATGATCTAAGCAACCACACCAAAAAGACTGGTGCCACATACAAATAAATGTGTTTCAAATTCAATAGCAAAGCAAACCATAGAGTTCCTTGTAAGGCAGATGTCTGAAAATATAAGCTGTTTAATTGTTATGGAAAAGTAAGATCATATTTTCTTACTTACCTGTTTATTCACTTTGGAAACTTTAGTGATAGCTAATAGAAGGATACCAAGTAAAAACCCATTGTATTGAAAATGTATATGATCTACTACTAATAATCCCATATTGCACAGAGATAAAATTACAAATATAGTATAATTATGAAATGAGGTACAGAATACTTTTCCAATTCTGTAAAAAATACAAAATGTATTTTAAACATTCTTTGCATAAAGAATATTGATGTTGTCCTAAATACTTACTCTTTAACTCCATAAGCATATACCAAATCTAAAACTATAACAGAGCCCCTTTGGAAGAAGATAGTATTGGATGATGCATAATCCAGATTTTCTACTCTGAGCATCTCAGGATCAACATATTTTGCTACATGACTGAGAAAGTATTCGAACCACGCAAATAGTGGTGGATAATCCAGTGTCCATTGTGATTTTACATTCACATACCATTCTTTAATTGGCAAACTGTGTGTTATAGCAAGCCAGTTGCGGTGTACTTCAAAATCTGTAGAACGACTAAAAATCAAATTTGTCCTATGTATATATAACCTTAAAATTAAAGAGAAAAATGCACAATAACAAAGTTACAATATTTTTTTAAATATACAAAGAAACATACTATGTGGGAATCAGAAGTACTTTGAAACACGTAACGAGAAGGAAAATACGGAAAATAATTCTGTTTCCGTTCCATTTTTCTGATAAAAAATTTATCTCTTTCCTTTTCAATGCAGAAATAGTTTTATCACTTGTAATATTCATTGTTAGAAAATATTTCACGTGGCATGCTTTAGCGTAAGACCTCTCACGAAGTTACTCTATGTAAAGTAATAAAATAAGCCGGAGCAATGTACAGCAAATCTTATGGTAGGGCACTGCAGGAATGTGGTGGAGATTATTGGCGGAAAAAGCCGAACAGGCTTCGCACACGACAGAGCTACCGGTACACTTGTGTGAGAGCACAAGGACGGTATAGTGGGACACGGCGGTAGGTCATAATGGGGGTAACTGCTTTCGCCCACGGCCCACGATTCTGGCATCACTGACTACATACTATATATGTATAAGCTTCGAAGTAGGTAAACATCGAAAAAAGTAACCGATATGATGGTGCGGAACACCTTACGAACGTACCAACACATGCCTACCTATAGACCTACACTCCCACCGCTATCGCTGTCCTCACTTCATTTACGACTGTCGATATCATTTGCTCCGGCTCCGGCTGCTGCTCCTGACTCTACTCGCAGCAAAAAAGAGCGCGTTTACTTCCCGAATGACTGCGGTAGCGTACACCGCTTTAGCGTGTTCGAAAAATTTAGTGGTTATACAATATCACTAATATGCATATTGACACTATCTCTTACTACCTTATTTGATTTCTTCTAATTATTTTTTAGATAGTAGAAAAAACAAAGTTTTTTAGAAAAAATAAGTTTATTGTTATATATAATTTGCAACATCAGCATGTTATTAAATATCAGTTTTCCTTAATTACGCTATTTCATAATGCAACTTACAGTATATATAAAAAAAGGAAACTTTCAAAGTGTTATCATTCAATGATGCAATGTCTAATCCTTCAAGTGTCAATTTAAGAAAGACTAAACAAACCGAGGAGACTTTAATAAATTTATACAAGATGATTTATCTAACTTGACGACTTTAAATTATTTATGAAACAAAAAGTACATGATTTCAAGGTAATCATATTTTCTATACTATTCACACGTCAAACTTTACAGGTTACATTTTTTAAACGGGACATCCTACATTTTTTTACCTAACCGAGTAATTTAAAGTTGTCGAGTTAGATGAATAACTTTGTATAAAGAAAACTTTTACGAAAAAATTCAAGTTATTCATATTTACAACAATAAATATATCAATGCACAAAAAACAAGAAACATGATCGTTTTTCTGTTTATAAGTGGTCAGTAGTTCCTTTTTCATTCGAATGTTAGATGAACTTGGCACTGAAAGGGTTAAGAAAATTTTTCCTAATGCTCCTGCACTTTTAATCTCCTTGCAACTGCAACAGAGATATCTCTCCTTTTTTCTAATGTTAAAAAGAACAATTGTTAGCGTGAGATATGTACATCAGTCGGTTGCAGTGATCAAAGACTGCGCTTCTAGCAAGCTCTCTGTAGCAAGGATAGAGCTGTTCATGATCGGTGCACTTACTGAGTTGCCCGATTTTTTATTCGAAAACGGATAGAAGCTATCGATGTTCATTGGTACAGAATAGCTGTTCGATTTATTGATTGGCGATCCACAGTTGCCATTTATGTTCATTCTCAATTGATTCACATCGTTTCGTAGTAGTCTCACGTAAAGCTCTATGTGATTTTGTCCACCATTACGGATCTCCAAAGTCGGTATCCAACGAAAGTAACACTGTGTCCAAAGTTCTATGGTCGCGATATGGTATAGCGGTTTAATCTCACACTTTTCACTCGAATCTGCTACACGAGGATTGTACAGAGGATTGTAAAACAATAAAATATCTTGGTCGTTGAACTGCTCCCTCCAATCCCAGACGCTCCGTAAAACGAGAGGTTTTTCTGGGTCCTACAAGATATGTATTCTTAGAACCAAAGTTTTATTGAATTGAAAGTGATAAAGTTCATCGTCATTTTTGTACTGTCTATTTATTTTGAAAGATGTTAAGAGATAGTACCGTAGCTGCCGCCACTCGGTCCTTCTCGCAATTGAAAATGAACGTGTCGAAAATGCAAACATGGGCAGCGTCCCATAAAGTCGTCAGGTACGTTTCCGTGAATTCGAATTCCGCTGGAAATTGTTGAATCAATTGCCAAACACAGTCAAGGTATAAAAGGAATAGCGGAGACTGTCGAGAAACAAAAATACTATAAATTTACAAATAGAAAGATATATCTGCATGCAAGATTCAATTAAACCTACCTTCTCCATGGGCCTTTTTGCAATATGACCTAATCTATCACAAAATGGATGTCCACCGGCAACCCATTCCTTCTGTAAAAGTGACTGGAACCCGTTTAAAGTACGAAAATAAGGGTCAAGCAACAATTGGACTAAGCTCGATATAATGCAACAAAGATCTGTGCCAGCGCCTTCTAAAAATCGGCGATGTTGAATTAAAAATACGAAAATTCACAATTGTATTTTAATTTCTTTCTTTGCTTACCTTGTAAAATAACAGAAAATCCTGAGTGAAGATGATTGCAAGTTTCGACAGTTTTACTCAAACAATACGATACGTACTTCAACCACTTAGTGTTCTCCACGGACGAATAAAAATTATTATCCTGAAGCCAAAATTGCCTTATATTTTCTAAAACGAATATATTATGTAAAGATATTTGTCATCCTATAAAAATAATGGTAATAAATAAATGTAATTCACCTGGAGAGCACAGACTGGCAAATTTTGAGAAAGCTATGGCTATTAACTTTATATTAATGTCTTTATTTAACTCTAAAACAATCGGAGGCATTTTTTGTGGATGACTTTTGCGGACATTCTCGAACATGATATTCTCCTGCATTCTGTTGGTAACCAACGGCGAAAGCTCAGGCATTTTTACTAATGCAGCACCGTGTGCACTTGACCAGGCCCAAATTGGTGGACGGCTGCCTTGGAAGTGCTTAGCTGCGTCCATTAGTTGACTATCAGTAATGGATGCTGGTACAATAATATACCGTGATAAGCTATAAAGAAATTTCACATTGTTACACGTTGTCCGAGATGCAACCAGACTTTCATTATGAATTACATTTACCTACGACAAAGCTTAAAGTCTATATTAACTGTAGACAGTCTCCACAACTTTCTGAACTTTTCATTACATATGGTTCGTTCTAATTCATTATACCAGTCTGAAATGTCCCGAAATAAGCGGACAGTTTTATCAAGACTACTATAATAAGCTTCTCTAAAACCAAAAAAAAAAAAAAACAGTAGAAACTTATTTTACATATTTTGATATTAATTTTTAATTTTTACTTGAAATACTAACTGGTAATCATAAGCAAATAACAAATCGTGTTTACTAGGAAAAGTATGATGTAATAATGCTTGCAAAAGATTTTTTCCATCTCCAATGGGTGAGAATTTGAAAGAAAAGGACCACGTTCGTAAATTCTAGAATCCATAATGTATGTTTCAATGAGCACAAATGACAGAAATTATAGAACATTGTTAATAACAAGTAGAAAAAATAATTACTTTACAAATAATAAATATTCCTTTTACTTTAGATGGTACTGTATTTCCAGGTACCAATTTTCTTTTCTTATCCCCTACAGTTACATAAATATCCTGTATGTTTGTTAAACATGTATCCATGTATCCATAGAGATGATTCTGTTGACGGGCCACATCCTGCACATAAAAATATCCATTTTTAAAAAATTTCAAACACTGAAATATTTATTATTCTTATGAAATTTGCTTACTTCTCCATTTGTATCTTCAGTCGTGATGAAAGTAAGCTTGAAATTTGTAACAGATAAAATGCCAGATGTTCCTTGTTTTAAATCACTGACAGGTGAAAACATAAGAACACTTTGTGCTTTGGTGACCATACATTCACCGGGTAACAATTTTACATTATTCTCGGTTAAAGAATTACGTCGACTAGAACCCAGTGGCTGTACATAATGGATTCCAACATTATTATAGTTGATAATATATCAAGACAAGAATTATTCATAGTCCCCATTATACTTTTTCAATGAGGTTATGTCTAAATGTTTACATAAGAAAATAGCAGACAATTACCTGCATCTCATGTTCCTCCAGACCTACGTAACTTTTGAAATTGTTAAAACTTTTGCTTTCCATCGCGAACGTTTGAACAGTTTACGTCGATTGCGTTGAACTAAAACCATAGAAAATTAGAATTCCGCTCGGCACTCGATTCTGCTTTTATTAGTTTCTCTTTAATTCCATTCTTGTCTGATCGGTGGCGATTATCATTGTAAATTGAAGGCTAGGCATTGTTTGAGTTCACGAGAAGAAATTCACTTCCCGACCCAGAACAAAATCACACTATAACCCTCCGTTCGAACCATCCTGAACAGTTTTCTCTACAATTTCCTCTTCGTTCGCCGCTTTCGCGTTCCATTCATTGCTATGAGTCCTTGAGTTCGCATTTGTCACCGCAATACATTCAGAAAATTGACATCGTGTAACACGGACTTCCTAACCTCTTTTAAATTCATTAAAACATCTTTTCTTCGGTTCGAATAAATTCAGTTTTGGTTAAAATAAAATGAAACTCGTAAATAATAAATATTTATTGATCAATAACACTTTTTATTGGTATGAAAAGAAAAAGATTCATTCAAGTGTTTTAAAATATAATTCATTTCTTTCTTGTTAACCTTTCTAAGCAACTTTTATTTGATTACTGAAATTGACTGTCTTCCTGTTGGACGATTGTTAAGAGAATTGAATAACACTCAGATTTAAACTCTTTCTCCTGTCTTTCAAATGTGCCTGGGCAATTTCCAAGAACTGTGGTTTCTGTAAAAGGTTGTAGGCAAGTGCAAGCAAATTCAGTGCCTTTGTTTGAACGTAGGAAATGCCACTAGAAAAGAGGTCATGGCCTAGCTCCAAAACAGTGCCAAAGTCACATTCATCAGCTGCAATTATTGTCAATCTTATCACTTCTTCAAGCTTTAACATGGGTGTTTTCCTAGCCTCTGGTATTGGAGGATGTTCTATTTGTTTTAGAATTTTATGCAATTCACCTAGGATGCAGACAATTACTTGCTGAACTGCAATTCACAATATTTAATTACTTTTTTTAATGATATAACTTACTGTTGCTTACTGCCAAATCTCTATATCCTAATTGAGTCTTTTTATTATAAGGTACCACAATTCCAGCTTTGTGGAAAGTCCTTGCAACAACTTGCATTTCTCTGGCTTGCATATTAATTGTCTTTTTCTCCAAAGTTATTTTCCTCTCTTTTGCAAAATTTCTCAGTTTTTGGTGTAATTGTGCTAATCGAAGTCTATCAAAGGGAGAAGTTAATTTTAATTTTTCTCCTATGTGTGCACTGTAAAATAAAAGTTATATTTTAATTTTTTATGAATAATTTAAATAATAGAACGCTTACTCAATAGCACCAAATATATTTTCTGCAACTGGTTCTATTAAATAGTTCACATTTACTTTGTTCTTCCCTACAAATACAGGCTTCTCTGAAGCATCATCTCTCCAATAACCATAATGCAAACCATCTTTGCCATTATCCTTGATAATGGTCTGTAAAAAATGTTGTAGATAATAAATATAATTATAAAATAATGTTTATTATAATTATCCTACCTGAAATTCTGGTGGATCATAGTAATATCTCCAATGTCTCAATAATACTTCTTTGTCCTCAACCTTAAAACTTAGAAATTTCTCTCTGAACACATCATAAGGACCTATTAATTGCAAATTAACATTCTTTAATGCATTAAAAGAATCTATGTCAGAGATACTTTTGCAGAATTCATAAAATTGAAAAAAGTCTTCTGGCATTTCAGTAAGAAATAAATGGGAAATAACTTTCTGTGCATTGATTTGGAGTGTTTCATCATTTTCAACATTAATTTTGGCATCTTTTAATAGTGACAAGATGGTGATTTGATTATTAGAAGTTTTTACATATTCTGTACAATTTAAGCTTGTTGATTCATCACCAATTTCATAATAATTATCATTCTTTTCATCAATAGTATCATTTACAACAGATAAAGGACTGTGTGAGCTTTCATCTTTTGTGTCATCATTCTTTTTTGACATTTTCTTCTCTGGAGAGTTATTTGATGCTTCTTTACTATCTTTCTTCTTTCTTCTTTTACCTAATGTTGCGTAATTTGTTGTATTTTTATTTTTCTATAAATAAAAAAATAAATTAAACATTTATTTGCAATTAAAAACGTACATGAGCAATATAAAATTTTAAATAAAAATATAATATTTTTAAATTCATACCGCATCTTTGGTAGGCGGATGCTTGTATTTTTCATGATGCGTTGGATTTTTCTGATAACATTTACTTCCATACCGACACGGAATTCGCTTGTCTTCTCTATAAGCTTTAAATTGCAGCTCTTCGTTGTCTGACATTTTTTAGGTTAGACCGCGCCAAAAATCAAGTAAAAATAACCTCAAAAAAAATCCA